TTGTGCATGTGCAAGACCTGTGGCCTAGTGGATAGCATGTGAATCTTATGAGTGAGAGATCCCCAGCACAGCAGGGTTCGATTCCCAGCCCTCAACATTTTCAGTTTTTTTTCATCCAAAAAAAATTCAAAATATCCTTTTATTATTTTAAATAATAAAAGAATTTGTTTTAATTACGGGAAATAAAGTCTGAAATTGTAACATGGTCAGATTCCATCTCGTTAATATGAAGTTACGATGACAATGTTGGTGCGTAACCAGACTAAGATTTATCACGGTAAAAATGTCTAAGTCCTGAAACATGTTGCTGCTCATGTTCAGTGCCTATCTGGCAAAATATCGATCACTTAAACTTTTAAAGAAGATAGTGGATATTTTGCCGGAGGTAACGCCGGCAAATTAACGTTTATTAAAGGTTTGCCGGCGGCAATCCATATCAACTGAGGGCGCTGTACTCTTTAAGATAGGGCTGAATTATAACATGTATTAAATTCCTTCCAAAGTTGTGTAGCTCAATCGGTGCAGTGGTTAAGCAATTGCTCTAATGAGTGGGATGTCCCGAGTTCGAATCCTGATTCCTGCCACATTTTTAAGTTTTTTTTTCCCATCCCAAATAAATAATAATATTCTTCTTTTATTATTTAATATGTCTCAAACATTTTATTGCAGAGTATTACTTTTTCTTTTTCAGATTTGTGGCTCAGGAGGATTTTTTTTAAAGGGAAATAAATTCCAAAATTATAAAATGGTGTGATTCCCATCTTGTAAATACAAAGTTACAACGATAATATTGGCATGGAGCCAGACTAAAATTTGTCACCGGAAAATGTTGAAATACAAAAAAACAGTAACTGCGCATGTTCAGTGCTAGCTCTACTGAGTGGAGCGTTGAATTACGGGTACCCCTCCATACAAACGCTCCACCGATTTGCCATACTTTGGTAGCACTTACACGGTCGTCATGACGGTATGCATTTTGTGCATGCCCTCGCGAGGACAAGGCCCAAAAAACCTGATAAAGAAAATACAAATGAGAAAGACAGTAACCCTGGATAGATCCACACATTCATGACATTCCATATGACCCCTCAAATTGTTTCAAACAACCGGTAATTTTGAAAAAAGAACAAAATAGTCTGAACTTACTGCTCACAATTAAATGTGTCTGCCGAGTTGCACAGTCTATTTCACTGACGTGACTGATGCATAATTCATTGCGCGCGTGTGTGACGTCACTATTGAAGAAAAACGAGTTGCGCTTACTCAATAGCTGTTTCATGTAGTCATATGTGCCCCGCGCCGTCTGACTGTGGGTTTTTGGTGCGGGGCACATATCAGTACATGAAACAGTCATTGAACTAAAGGTTTGCCGTCTCCAGCAAAATATCCACTGCCTTTAAAGAAAGCCGGCGCCAGCTAAATATACACTGCCAAATTTGAACTTGAATAAATAAGACAAGTTTGTGCATTAAAATTCCTGTTTTTATCCATGCCGAGCATGCATTGCAAATGTCAGTAAATTGTCACAAATGTTTGTTTCATCCTTTTGCCCTTCCTGCCCTCCGTCCATTTTAAGTGTTGGTGCCAACCCCCCCCCCCCCCCCCCCCCCTGCAGTCCAATTTCTGAAACCACGCCCAATCCCAGATTCTCAGAAAATGGAGAAAGGAAAAAAATAACTGACGGAATTCCTTCTTTAAAAACTAAGGATTTCGGACCGTATTTTCTACTGCATCAACTTCAGAAGAATCTACAGTAGTTCAGTCACTTCTACCTAACTTTTTAAGGCTAAATGGGTAACTTTTCAGGCCAAAATTGGAAAACTTACTTTGACTGTTTTGACGTTTTCTCGAAGTCCTCCACCATACGTGCCCCGCCAATTTACGAAAGCGCAACGAACCACGTGAGATTGGTTGGTGAGCCCATTCCCTGGTTCCTGTACTATTGCAATGATTTCAAAGGCATTGGGGAACGCGAACCAGTTATTTCTGCGGCGCCTTCCTCCTTATCACTCAAAACTATCCGGCAATTTTTTGTGGGGAAGTTTTCAGTTTCTTTTAGTTTGGGGTAAAAGTCGGGGTTTTTTTTGTAATTCACAATTTTTGCATACAATCTTTTTCAAATTCTCACAATTTTTATTAAACAATATTGGAGACGTGCATCTACGAAAAGATCGTCTTCAATATAATAGTTTGCTTAGATTTTTTTTTTTTTTTTAACTGCACGAGTTCCCTTATTTTTGTATTGATGGATGGCTCACCCCTTTCCATTAATTTGGTATAGCCAGGACTGTGCCAAATGTATATGCAAATTGTGCAGGTGCAATTGGTCTTTTCTTTCATCACGTGATAACTGCGCAAATTTCCAGAGTGCCGCGATTTTCTATTTATCCTTCTATTTAATAATATTCCTCTATTTTAATAATGTTCCTCTATTCATTATATATTTAATATCTAATATTCCTCTATTTAATAAATTTAGCCTTAGAGGGCGGGCTTTCAATTAGTGCGGCCAAATTAACTTGTCCTCTGATAACCCCCATAAATAGTGAAGACAGCTGAATTAAATTGTAAAAAAAATATCTTTTTATAGGAATATGGAAGGGGTCAAACAAAATGCGCATTTTGTTCGTTAAAGTGGAGTTGTTATTGGTAGTGGGGCCCAGACAACTAATATCGATCATTCATGAAAGGGGCCGGATGAATGGGGGAGGGGGGGGGGGGGCAGTAATTTGGAATTTTTTCATGTTCCAATTGTTGGTGTTCATTGGGTGCTAGAAAAATATTGTTAAAAAAAGCTGCTTGTTTTCAAATGTAAGAGTCACTATAGTGTCGCAAAGCTGAAACAATGATTCATTCAAGACAACTTCAACTTATATGAAGTCTTGAATTAATCAAAGAAGCTGTCTTCTTGCAGACCGAAGTGGGGCCACCAGAAATGCCTTTTGAGATAAATCCACAAGGGAACAAGTGAAGACGACTGTTTTTAATACGAATTGTAGTCTATTAATCCCCGTTGCCACTTTATAATACAAAGAAAGAAAAGAAAGGAAACACTGCACCCCTCCCATAAAATGCAATCTAGCCCCGCCCCCTCCACATAAGGAATTGGCAACAACTGGCATGTCGGTCACCCCTTTCTTAATCCCCCAGCAATAAATGCTTCTGGATCCATCAGTGATTTAGCTGTCTAATCATTTTTTTTAATTGCATGAAGTAAATTTGTGATTGTGTTGATATATTTTCTATTGAATTTCTGTTGATATCCTCATTATAAAGCCTGCATGCCTGATTACAAAACCCAAGTGGTGACCCAGCAGTAGAATTCAGAGGCGGGAGATTGGTCCATCACTGAGGGAGGAATGGAGGCATAACACAACAATCATCTAACCTCAAAGATTTCTCCTTGATTGACTCAAGTCATTGAATGCAATGATTTATTACACGATAATAATCATACAAAGTACACAATGTCAAATAACAATCCCGGACGTCTTAAACTTTGCCCAAAATATCTGGAAAAACAAAAGAAGAGATCAGAAATGTTTCTGCACCAATAACAAATAATACAAATGACTTACAAATTCCAACATATCTCTACTCATAGTTAACCAATAAACTTACTTCCACCAAACGGTGCAAATATCAGATATTTAATTTTTATTTTCAAGATAAGACAAGATAAGTTTGCGGTAGCACCATGTGAATAAATCTCTTTTGTGAGTATGTGTGGTTCTGAAAAGAACCAGAGGGACTTAACGTCTCGAACAGTATGCTCAACACGTCGTCAGGAGAATGAGGGATTCCAACGATGATGAGATGTTATAAGGATGGGTGCAGTGAGGCATGAGAAGGATGCAAACTGGTGAAGCTCCAAACCGGTGAAGCTGAGAAGGATGCAAGTTGACTGATTTACTCAAATGGTGCTACCGCAAACTTATCTTGTCTTAGTATCTTTCCACCATGCAAACCTTCAAATCTTATTTTCAAGTTAAATAAACAAATTGACTGTAGCAGGATGACCGTTCTGGATTACTGTACTGGAACAGGAATCCGGAGGTCACAGGGTCAAACCAGCTCCAGGCAATTTCTTTGTTCAACTTTCACGTTATTATAATGCACAGAGTCAGTTCTCCTTTGTGGTTTATTTTTATGACTGAAACCAAACTATCCAGAAGTCAGCAGATTATCCTGACTTGGAGTCCGTGCCCGAGTGATGACCTTATCTTACAGAGTTGCACATTAATGATCACAAGATAAAAATCACAATGATGTAGTTTGTAAACCATGGCTTAAAGGCATATAGGAACATTTGTATTTCATGCATTTTGTTCGTTTCCAATACAAGTAATATCATCACTGTTCCACAGAAGAATACTCTCAACCTAACATGTTGAAGCTTTGGATATTACACTTTTCAAGAAAAGAGTGAAAAATCCATGCACAAACTTTAGATCAATAACGCGATTTCGTCCATATAACTCTTATTTCATAAATCAGTCAATTGACTTATCATTGGAAATCACCTACATTTCTTGATTTCTTCTTAATGACAGCAAGCCAGATGGAATAATTTCACAGAGTGTTTAGTACCAGTACGATCTTTAATCCAAGTGAGCTTTTTGATTACAATTCCGTAGGTTAATTTTGGGATAAATGCAAATGATCTCATCCCATATCCCTTTAAATGTGCAAATTAATGAGTAAAAAAATCCCCATCAATTAAAACTGCAATCAGATCGGCTTCGCAAATACAGTGTTTAAATCTAATTTTAATCAAAATCTTCTTTCATGTGTCATGCCAGCAACAACGGTTAAACATTATTTACATTCAGTTTACATTTCCAATGTAAATAAATCAAAACGTTGATTCAAAGTATACTTTTTCTCTCCTGCAGAACTGCTTTAACCAAATTGAATGGTTGCATTTGGGCATGTTATATACGACTGTTATCACCTGGGCAACTGCAAAATATCAAAACTGTTAGAAACAAAAAACGTCAGTTTTTGTACAGAATATTGATCATACTTGGAACAAACAAATCTAGTGTCAATCAATACTTTGAAGAGGCTTGCAATGATAAAAACAAGCAAATTGTCCACTTGTACCTGTTTCAACATAATCAGAAACACAGAAACATTTTCATGTATACAACAATTGCAATGATTGGTCCTGAATGAGCAAACATGACTGTCCTCTGACTAAAATGCGTCATTTGGCAATGCAACATTCTACAGGTATATATTATACATGAATTGTTTGACAGTATGAACACTGGTTTAGTAACTCTCAATATGCACATAGGCCTATAGTTGAATAGTAAACAAAATCCACGTTATACTGTCCTTACACAACTGCACCACTTTAAAGGTATATTACATAAACAGTCAAGGTTAAAGATCTATACAAACGTTAGCAAACTGGAATCATAATTTTTGCCATTTTATGCATAATTTACATTAATTTACACAAACGATTTGATAAAGAATGAAGCACAAACACTCAATAAAAAACGTCTGTTTGAAAGGCGTGAAGTTGCGAGAATTTTTCGAATTTGTACATAAGGCAAACGCAAAACAATTCAAAAGTTTGGGGTATTATTCTGTATACTAAGTTTTGCACAGCACTGGTCTATGGAAGGGTGTCGTGCAGCCATTTGCGTGTGGTCACATTAGTTTGTTGGAATGCCATATTACTACATTGATCGGATAACAGGGTAGGAGGAGGCCTTTGTCACAAAAGTTGAAGACATCTCACACAACTTTTACCTAAGATGATGCGATACCAGATATTTTCTTAAAAGAAATGGAAAGGAGAGGTGGATTCTCCTGTTTAATTGACGATTAGATTGTAGATTTATAATAGTACTCAGAGGTCACCCAAGATACAAGGTCAATTTAATATCACTTTCAAGTGACACCCAGAATGCTTAGTACAGTGCTATTATGTTTGAAGATTTCAATGAATCATTTTGTACAGGAATTGTTGATTGACTTTTCACACTGATTGATTGATTAATTGATGGATTGAATTTTTTGGGGGATGGAGGTTCAGTAGAATGAAGAACTATGCTGGGTATATTTGTATTCATAATGTAAGAGGATTCCGAATACATCTATTTGTATTGAAACCCTTTTGTTGACTTTTTATTCATTATCGAGCCCCTTATTGTCCTCTGAAAATAAAGTTGCTGTTGTTATTGATTGTTGTTGTTGTTGCTGTTGTTTTTTAACTGATTCTTTTTTTTGGGGGGGGGGGGGGGAGGGGGTTGCAGAGCATTGACTTCACACAACATGACCCATGATAGGTGCTACTTGTTTCGATGAATGCGGCTCATGAGCGTGGTGCATTCATAGGGAACAGGGTGAGAGTTATGACTTGGTGGGAGATTATTTAGGCTTTTCGAATTCTCCCTCTTCTGTTTCCTTCAGGTGAGGGAGGTCTTGACTGACAACTTGTCTGACGAGCTCAGCATCGAGGCCGATGTTACGAAGTCTCAAGTAACTTAACCCAGGGAGACCTTGGAGATGATGAGTGAGAGCCCTCACTGCATCCAAACTGAATGCATTGTCATCAAGGGTAAGCCCTTCTACACCATGGCCAGCAGGAAGGATGCTGATCAGGTCCTTCACATCATCATCTACCAACCTGCATGCATTGAGCTGCAAGAATTTAAGGGATGACAGTATGTGGCTGACATGTCGCACCCGTGCATGCAGGTTGGTGCCATACAGTGTGAGCCAATCCAACCTGCATCCTTCCAGTGCCTTCAATAGATCAACAACCTCATCCGGTGATCGTTGGAACATAACCAAACCAAGATCGCCTATTTGTTCCTGCATGTGGAAAAACCTGTGTGATACACGCCCCACGTCAAACCATGACTTTGCCTCAATGCAAACCACAACGTGTAATTCAGCAGGGTGCTGTTCATCCACCACACCAAGTGTTTCCTCAAGAAGGATAAGCTCCTCCTCCTCCTGCTCAGACAAGTAGTAGCGAACCGCTATCAGCCCAGCTGACTTCATGCTGTCACTCAGAAGAATTCCCCTGAGAATGGTAAGCTCCTGCTTTCTTACACACATGTGAAAACCTGCACCTTGAAGTGGTGGAGTGACATGCTGTAAGTAGTAGCTCAGTGATTTCAGGTCTTCGTTACTCTTGCAGGCTACCCTAGTTGGTCTGACAAGTTTGGTAGCCAACTCTTCTGAACCAGCCTCGAACATGAGCAACCGGGCCAATCCCTGCAGTTCCTCCTCATCACCTTGCATCTCTTGTATGTGATCCAGAATGAAACCAGCAGCCTGCATTGATCTACCACAACAAAATCTCAGCAGGTATTCCATCGCAAGAACATTGCCTTCTCCAATCTGCTTCAACTGATGACGGAAATTGTTTTCGTCATCTTGTAGCAATTTCACCAGGTGACATGCTGCAAAGTATTCTTGGATGGACTTGTGGGGGAAAGTGACCAACACGTTTACATGCAGACCACTAGTGTAATTTTCAAGTTGAACGAAACCCACAAGACAACCGTCATCTAAGCAAGACTGACAATCCTGAAATTCAGTTTTATCAAACATGAGTCTTTCCCCTCTGAAGTCTAGTAACCCTTGCAATGCAACACGCCCCAAGCTATCAATGATGGACATCATGTTAGACATCACCTGTTCATCACTCATATCTTTATTGCGGCGCTTGAAAAGAGCCAATGCAAAGTCTGCGTACAGCTCGGTAATTCTCTCTGGCAAGGACTGTTGATTCTCCCAAACAATGCACAGCATCTGGGAAATGATTGGAACTACAGCCATTTCCTGCAGATTTGCATTGTCTTTCAGATTTGAAATCAATTTGTCTCCCATGTCAGCATCATCAGGAAGGTTTAATCTGATGTACTGATCTCTGTCTTGTGGTGTGAAGCCAATAGTCTCAACCACTGCATACTGGTGGTCACAGCTCAATACATATTCAGTCAAGTGTGGTCTGGTAGTTACCAGCACAAAACTTTTTGAAAGAACTCTGCTTTGTAAGATATCCTGAACCCTGTACACGCCCTCCTCAGATTCCAAAACATGAGACGGAATTTCATCTACTCCGTCCAACAGCAAAGCAATGCCTGATTCGTGATCATCTATGAACCCTTTCACTATGTGTTTTGTCAGTTTGGTGTTTCGTGCTAGAATTTGGTCAAATATGGCATCCAAGACACAGCTAGATTGCTGCATTTGCCTCAGCTTTATCCAAAGAACAAGATCGAATCTACCAAGAAGCGGTTTTGAACTGAGTGTGATGCAGGAGTTTGCAACTTTCACTAACAGGGTTGATTTACCCGTCCCGGCCCCACCACAAAGGAGAATCTTGATTTCCTTAACTACTTCTGGATTCAACAAATCATCCAAGGAATTGAGCCTAGTGGTCTGATTGATATCTAACAATCTTTTTCCTTCTGGTAATCTCACCGACCTCTTTGATTCTCTTTTGCCTTGAATGTTCTTTCTGAGAAACAGTGGAATAAAGAATTTATCAATATCTACTTTACGTGACTGCACTACAGGGTGTGCAGGAATAGTCGTTGTAGTTCGCTTGTAGTTGTCAATAATTTCCTGTTGCAAATCCTCAAAGGTACCTGGCCCCTGGTGTCCGGTGGTTTCTAAAATAAATCATGAAATCATTATGAGTAAACAATTTGAGTATACATGAACATGATTCTGAACAATGCTTTCAAGCTGCAATAATTCATCAAAACCAAACAATCTACATGTCCATTATTAGACCTATAATTTTTCTTCTGCAAACCGGTTTATTATTGTTTTACCTGTGTTCCCTAACATATTTGATTGGTAGAAGTTTCCAATTACATGCAGTAAAATGTACATGTTCACTGAGAAATTTTGCCTAGGATTTAAATCTACATATCCACATTTCCTGTTTAAATAAAGGGTCTATATGCGATGAATTTTTCTTAGGAACACAATTTGTGCAACTTTCTATTCCCTTAAATGTATGAAAACTATTTAACATCCTTTTTTGGTTAATTTGATTGAAAAGTGCATTTCTTTAAACACTTAAAAAATGTCCATGCTTTTCCAGACAACTGAGGGCTCTGTTGCTATGATGTCATTCCAGGAAGACACTGTTAGAGGTTTTCTGTTCAAATCAAGCACCCATTATTTGCTCATTGAAAACATTTGTAAGAAAGGTTTGCTCATTGGCTTACTGTCATGTACTGACACAACAACGACAAGCCAAAGAAAAGAAAGTTTACTAACTCAATATATCAAAAATTCTGGCAACTTGTTGTGCTGAAATAACTGTAACATTTAGGTTTCTGACCAGAATGACATCAGAGTTTTGCTCATGAATATGGAAATTTGGATTAGCATAAACACACAAAAAGCACCAAAATACCCTTGAAAAAGCAAAAAGGAAAATGAGGTTAAATTGGACACAAAGGTGCATTTCCAAGGATTGCATTGAAACAAAATCACATTACATGGGCCATTTAATTTGGCATCCCTAAGATCAAAATGCATGTACTGATAAACGCAGTTGCACAAGGTTGACATTGCGTGCAATAGCCAGTCTCTATTCACTCAGCGATGAAGTCAAGGCAGAAATTTTGACCACACCACAAACGGGGTGATGAAAGGACGAACTGTTGCTGGTGGTACACAACAGAAAGCACACCGTTTCATAAAACTGTACAGTGTTTCCAGATCACTTTTATTTCTCGTATTGTATCACGAGAAGTTTCGTCTACAGGTTGTGGACCCATTTATTAGTCCTGCCTGTAAATTCCCGGGCACATTTAAGGAAGCAAATATAGGACTTACACATGTACCTTTCTCAACACCACCGCCATCTCCCCCCCCCCCACAACACCCCCCCCCCCCTCCAAAAAAAAAGAGGGCAATGCAAGCTGAACAATACTTAACACGACCAGACCTAAATTTGTTTATCAAAGACTTGATTCTACAGTAAAACGTAGGCTAAGTAGCAGCATGAATGCTGATATTGGACTCCATCACTTTGATAAGAAAGTGCTAGAAGTAGGCTTAAGTGTACATTTGCCCCACAAAGTGTCAGGTCATATTCGACCCGGGTTTGGGTTGAATCTGAGTGCATGGTTCAAGAGTTTAACGCATTTATCTTTGAATATAGTAATGGAAATAATTTTTAAAGCCATTATTTTTTCCACTCTCCTATCAAACATTGGTTTATAAAAAAGGAATCGTGAATATGAAACATTGTAAACATTGCACTTACAAAGACTGCCGCATACAGGGACGTACGTGTTACAGACAAAAAGTGGGTGACATCATGATGACATCATCAAAGGTCCCGATTGTACTACCCTGCTATTGTACTACCGTGCTGTGGGCACTCAGTGTGACCGTTTCATTGTGCTATTGTAAGGCAATTTCAGGCGTGATCCTGCGGACGGAACGGGGCCTGTAGGCAAACGCAGGCGCCCGGGGGATTAAGAACAATTCCTCCCATGCCCTCAAATCAGAACGGGAAAAATCCTTTTGATCTCTTCCCCTATTTAGGTGCATATTTTCAAGTCCTATTTTCAAGAACAAGAACAGCTAAATAAGTCATGGAACTATGTTCAACATATAATATGCTAAAACAGTACACCATCCTTCCCCCCCCCCCCCCCAACACATTAACACTTGATTTAAGATATCAAAATACTTTATCGTCTTGAACAAGATTATATTTACCTGGTCCCTGCAACGGCAAGTTGTAAGTGATATTAACATTTGAACCAACAATGACAGGGTTCTGGCTACCGCTGATTGTGCCGATGCTTCCTATGCTGGCTCCACTTTGTTGTGGGTAATCTAGAATCAAAAGCAAGAATTAAAATATCCTTTAATTCAATTCAATTCAATAATTAGGGAATAACAGTGTGAGGACCCGGTCTTCACTGCATGACAATGACTGTGTTGGGGAATGGCCGCTGTTAAAGGTACAGTCCATCATTTGTAATTTGTGTATTATGTTCGTTTGAACTTAGAAGCAACAAAAGTGCTCAAAATCTAAAGAAGGGTGCTGAACAACTAACCTGATGAACTTTCAGCTCAGTGAATGCTGTATATTCCGAGTTAAACAATATTCTAGGATCTCGATTTCAAATCAAAAGTTGCTGAGTCATGTTTTGAATTATACCCGAATTCAGCGTTCTCATTTAGCCCATTGCAGCCGAACGATGACACGCACTTAACCGACGAATTATAACTACAGTGCGCGCAGGTGTGTCGTGTCAACACTTGCCCGCGCTTCACCGAATTAAAAACGAAACACTAATGGTAATTTAGAACGATGCCGCATCAGCTTGCCAGAGAGAATATGATTAGTCCCATTACTATCTTTCAACCAAGTATGATTTTCAACAATAATTTTGTCAGTTACTTTTTGGACGCCTGCAAATGATGGACTGTAGCTTTAATGGACCGAGCCAAAAGAAACATTTAAAATACTCTGAATTTGTGATTTTTCTTTTGGCGATATTTCCAGACTTTTTGTATTCATGTTCAGGGGCCATATTTTAGCTTATGCATGTTATCTTGTCTTTTCAAAATGTGTTTTAATTATTTTTGTTCCAACTTTCACTCAGGAGGTAACACATTGAATATACATGTAGTGTTTACAATGTAGACCTGTCTATATATGTTGGTGAAGGGAAAAAACCTAATATTGGTTTAAAATATTTTAACATTTGGACATGATCTAGAATTAGTGTCCAAGCAAAATGGCAGCCACCGTGTGACACATAATTAATGAACCAACAAAAACTTCATATTTCACCCTCAAAACAGCCACAAAATTATCAGATACCCCACCTCAGATACAAGTACTTGAAGGAGAGATTGAGGATTAAGATCAAAGTAAGGTTTACTAACGATCTTGATGAACAGTGACATTTCCTATTCAATCCTGAGAGCTCCCCTCGTCTCTGCCTTGCCAGTCAAACGAATCAACGTGTACGAGGAATTGAACGGAAAAATTCACTTTTCATCCAGATAGTAAGTAAAATTCGCCATGGGGTGACAGGGGCTAGTCTGCAGTGTGGTCCCCCTTGTTTCAGGGACTCTGCTACACTATATTGTGCCTAATAGCGTCAATGCAAAGGATGGGAGGGAAGGATGCTGTCAGGGAACTGATATCAGGGCTAGGGGAGTCATAACATGCAGGGTTGACAGACAAATGTTTGTGTCTCACCTGGTCTTGGTTGTGGTGGTTGTTGCGTTGGTTCCTGCTGGGAAGGCTGTCTGCTGCCAGACTGAGTCGTTCGTTGATCATCCCTCACTCCATCAGCCGGTAGTTGTTGGGTCGGAGCTGTGCTTGGACCAGGGTTAGTTTGTGTCTCACCCGGTCTTGGCTGTAGTTGCGGTGGTGGTTGTGGCGTTGGTTCTTGATGGGAAGGCCGTTCATTACTTGACTGACTGTTTTGTTGATCATCTGGGTCAGATTGTTGGGTCAGAGCTGCCGGACTGTCTCCTACTGTGGTTATGGTAAGAGCAACCCACAAACCAAATTTGAAGTTCCTAAGTAAAGTATTTCTCAATCATTCGTGCTGACAAAACATGTACTTCTATTGTTTTAGCAATATTAGTGACTTTGACCTAGCTGTTGGCCTCAGAAGCAACAGGCCTCTTTAGACTATCAAGAACAACGGACAACCCACAAACCAGCTCCTACGTAATTATTCTCAAGTTATCACGTTGACAAGATTTCTATTGTTTTAGCAATAGTGACCTTTGACCTGTCGGCCCCAAAAGCAATAGGCTTCTTAAGACTACCAAGAACAACCCACAAACCAAATTTCAAGTTCCTTAAGTAAAGTATTTCTCAAGTTTACTTGTTGACAAGATTTCTTTTATTTTACAAATAGTGACCTTGACCTTTGACCTGTCGGCCCAAAAGTAATAAGCATGTTAAGACTATCCAGAACAATCCACAAACGAGTTCCTAAGTAAAGTATTTCTCAAGTTATCGTGCTTATTAAACAAGAGTTAACAAGAGTTTTGTTTATGGTGTAAATTGAGGATTTTCTTTTGTTCCTCTTCCCTTTTCCTTTGTTAGTACCTTAGCCTTGGTCAATGCTCTTGTCGTTATTCATCCCGCCGTACGCGGTCAATCGTCGGCATATATCCTCACGCGCTATGCACATGCATGTAAAAATACAGCGCGAACAGCGACCTCATGCGGCCACTAATTTTTTTATGCAAATCAGTTGGAGACGATGTCGAGCGTTGGTTCAATCGTCGGCCAAAGCTTATGTTTTTCTTTATTTTGCGCTGGATTTCTAGCGCACGACCTCGTATGCGAATACAGTGTAGGCGGGGCTAATATGTGGAGTGTCCAATCCCACCTTGGTAAATCCGGACGTCATCAAATTATTTGCAGTTATTCGCCTTTTGCGGACGTGACAGGAACCACAGTTTTTGTGCATTGGTGCCGTGTGCAGAGACACACAACGTGTACGTGTATGGATTATGTACGGTGCCACGTTTCACTATGCAAGTTTCCACGCAACGATCGACCAATAAGAAAATGACATTTAAGGTCAGCTAAGGCTATTAACATAATGAGCACCACCCCCAAAACCTCACATGGACGATTGAACCAAGGCTCTCGATCGTCCCCAACTGATTTGCATATAAAAATAGTGGCCGCGTGAGGTCGCTGTTCGCGCTGTATTTTTACATGCATGTGCATAGCGCGTGAGGATTTATGCCGATATGACGATTGACCGCGTAAGGGACGAATAACGACGAGAGCATTGACCAAGGCTATTAGTACCTTAACTTTTCGCAACAGCTCTCATTGGTTTGTACACATTTTCCAACCGAGGAGTCCTCGATTCGGTTTCTGTCCTCAATTCATTGATAATGTTGCGTGTGTCCTTGACTTACACCATAAACAAAATAATGCAGAAAAGACAGACCAGCAGCCGATTTCACAAAATCTTACGTATTGGCGCAACTCTGCTTGAGCCAAAATTTATTGTGTAAGTTGCACAACATTTCACTAATGACACATTTCACGAAAGTCACATAGTGCGTAAGTGCACAAGTTGCACAATAAATTATGATGCAACTTGCACCATCATTTTAGGCGGCCTAAGTTGTGGCGTAGCGACTGAAAACGACATATTTTACGAGCAAATCAGGACCGTCACAGAGCTCGTTATTGCACAACTTATCAAGGTTGATACAAGAGGGACAAAATAATTTTCAAAATGGCGGGCTGAGGTGATCCAACGAATGCAAAATTCACACACAAACAGCCGTCGTAAATGCTGCTTTTATCCTCGACCAAGATGCTTAAATTATTTAAGGCACTGTGCAGCTGTGCCAAGTTTTGTGAAATTGATTTTGAAGTTTATTGCGCAGCTGCGCAGCAAATTTGTTGCGTAAGTCTTACTCAACATGGCACAAGCTGCGCACTTTTTTATGAAATTGGCTGCCCATTGTCATGGCGCAAACAACAAAGGGTCTATAGTTAAACCAAAATTCAAGATTATATGAAATGCTATAAAATGGACATTTTTGGGATAAGAAACATTCAATTACATACCTACATTTGTATTTTTCTTAAATTATGGCAGAGTTTTTGCTTACCCTCACTGAGTCCGATCTCATGAACGCCCGATGCTTTGACGTTGCCCTCATTGAACAGCCTCTCAGCCTCCATATCAGACTTGGCTGTGGACTCGGCTAGATTCACCGCTGCAATGTAGCCTAGTGCAGGGGTGAGATTGTTGGAAAATGAAAAATCCACAAAAATCATCACAACTAAATGCACTGCGGATCTGCAAACATTTCAACTCATTTGAATACGTGTCCTGAATGACTTCAAATTAGCTTCAGATTCGCGTTCACATTCACATTTGTGATGCAATCAAGCTAACTGAGTCGTTTGTCGGCAATTATGATTTTAAGATACAGCCCAAAATAGTTCAGTCAGGGTGAAAATTTCAAAATTGACTTTTTTGTAAAATCGGAAGTCTACATATGTCCTCTTTCATGTCAACTTTTTCTTCCCGAGAAAATTTCAGGATAAAGTATTTAAAATGTGACATTTTTGCTAAGGAGTTAATGTCAAAAACCTGAAATAAGGCATGTTTATTGTTGTGTAATAAACACTTCAATTTTGAATCGTTTATTTCTCTGTTTGTTTTCTCCATTTTCTTGTTTCAAATCTGCCTGTGTTCCAAGTCCCATAACTTCTGAACGGAAGGTCCTATTCACATGTGGTTTTCACCCAATATAAACTGAGATACAGCTCTATTCAAAAATGTATTAAAAAAAACCACAACATTCGATAAGGGCCGACAAATGACTCATTTAGTATGATCGCATCTCATGTTTGTGGTTTTGGCCTGAAGACTGCTGACCCACCTGCCACCATTTTCTCGTATTTCTCGTCAATCTTGAGGATTTCTTGGTAAGTCGTAACAGCTGCCTCGTAATCCTTCAGTCCCTGCTGGGCCTTGCCAAGGTGTACCAATGCCTTGACGTTGTTTGGTTCCAACTGCAAGGCAGTCCGGCAGTCCTCCATTGCCTCTGAAAACTTTCCCAATTTGTTGTGAGCCTGGGGGGGGGGGAGGAAATAAGTAAAAAGAGGGGATTCAAATTTGCCCCACAGTGAACAACAAAGTAATGTGTGTCTCAATAGGATAACATGTGTGACACCTCGGATTAATCGTCTGCCTTATGTGCAGTACTACCAAAACATACATGTAAGATGAGTTGGCCCCCCTCCCAAAATGATGTTTTCCTCTTTTTTTTGGCCTTTATATGAAATCTTTTCAGGAAATAAATTAAAACGTTGCGTATCTCTCTCACAAGCCTTCACCTTCACTTGCCTCTCTCCACCCAGGAGTACACATGTAAATGGGTAAGGGTATTAGTTGGGGAGCAACCTACAATGGACTGATCCAGGGGGAATAGAAATATTCTCAGTCATTTCATGAATATGGAGATCTTGGCTCTTAAACAGACTTGACTTGTTTACCTGTGCCCTGTTGGTGTACAGCACCACAAAGTCTTTTAGACGCTCCAGGCCCTGCGTGTAGAGCTCAACGGCTCGTGTGTAATCGCTCTTCTTGAACGCTTGGTTCCCCTGATCTTTCAGAACCGTCGCCTCTGCTTTACGCTTCTCTGCGTGCTCGTTGGCGTCTGCTTCCTGGGCTCTCATGACATAATCTAAAAATAAAAATGATCGCACGTAACATAAAAGGACAGAGTTTTCTACAGTATAATCCCCCGTTAACCCTAAGACCAAAACAAAGTCTGCGGTTTCTGGTATGGCGCTTGCCCCAAAAGTTGTCCGGCGACGTAGGTTTTTTTTTTTTTTTTTGCCCCACTTTTTTTTTCTTCAAATGTCGGCTGATGACAAAAGAGGATTTTCTTTTGTTCCTCTCCTCTTTTCCTTTGTTTATACCGGTACTGAACTTTTTATCAACAGCTCCCATGGTTTTGTACACATTTTCTAGTCAAGGTCGTCTCAATTTGGTTCCTGTCCTCAATTCATCGATGATGTTGCACGTGACAAGCCCTTATTGTTGAGGTAACTTCCGGTTCCATTCCTGCTTCACCGTGTGAAGTACACTTGGTTCAGTGCAATGACGTTACACTAACAGGCCAGATACTTCCAAGGCCTTGGCCCAAGTCCTTTGGGTTATTGTTAACGCAAATCCCCCATTGTCCAAAGTCCTCAGTCTAAGGGTAACCTTACCAAACATACAGACAGAAGGAATACACTATTGCACTATCCCCATCTGGCTTATAGCAGGCACAAAAAAAAAACGTGCTTTGCTTTGTCATCAATCCTTTGTACCAAGGCTACTAATGTCATGAAAATAACAATTGATGTGGTTCATTCTGATACCTACCTAAAAGGTTTTCAACAATGTCCCTTCTGCCGATCTCCATCAGAGCTGTGCATAACACGTCCCTCTGATCCGTGCTAGTGGATTGTTGGCCCCTCCACTCTGCCAGCATGTTGTAGATCTGGTTCTCTGTCTGGCCTGGGTCATCCATCACGATGTGCTTGATCTCTGCAGCGCTTAAACCGAGATGTGTAGCCAGCTTCCGCCATTCAGAACAAAGCCTCTCAGAGATCTTGTGTAGAACGGGGTCACTGATACCTGCAAACAGACATGAATAAAAAAAAATATAGTTAACAACGTTTCTGTGAAAAAAAAATCTGTTTGTGACTTTGCTGAACATTTTGTGTAGAAATGCATACATTTATGTTTAGCACGGCAAATTTTGACACTTTTTATATTCTCTTTCTGATTCTATTGATTGTGCACCTGATCATGCAGTTAACAACTGCTTTGATGTGGGATATGACGTTTTTAACACCCGCGGGGCGCATGGCACCCGAGACCAAGCCAAGAGTGCTATGCGCCCAGAGAGGGTTAAAAACGACATATCCTACATCTTCTTTATCTGCTAAAAAAGTAATTCTGACAACAAAGGTGTTAATTTTTCAACAGAATTTAGAAAAGGAGTTAGACTGTAGTTTTAATTTTACAGCATTAGGGTATACCTTTCTGCTGGTCCTTTTCCAATTCGTCAAAAAATCTGCAGGCCTGGTCGTAGTCGCTTTCTGGAATAGTTGCCTGGATAGCCAAGTCACTCTTATCTTCTGTTGTCAGTTCATCTGTGATGAGAATCTCTGTCAGTTTCTTGGCGAGTTCTCCAGTATCGTACAAACTCCGGAGTTTGTTCAGGCCCTCCCGACTCTTGAAGCGAACAACAAATGTCACAGACCCACGTCTTAATTCCACAAGCTCTCCATCACATGGGTTCAGGTAAGCAGAGACCAGCTGATGTACAGAGTCCAATATGAGCTTGATTCTTGTCCACAGACGATTACTCAGGTCAGAGTCGTTGAAACCCCGCCTTGCCACACTGGTTTCTATAGACACTTTGGGACAATCTAGGGGGAAATATCATGGGATACTTTATCAAAAACAGGTAAATATTACAAGGTCAATGGACTCTGTGTGTAAAACTCAAGGTCGCTTACATTTCTTGTCCACATACGCTGTTCATACTCTCTGTAATTTGTGTAGGCTTCAACCATGGTCCACTTCAAATGCACGCATTGCACCAGATTTTTATTTAATATTTGGCAATCAGGCCACACCTGTTTTGTCACATTTTTTGACATTGTATTGGCTGCATGTTGAGGGGAAATGAAGTCGCTGGCCTACTCAGTGATGAATCGTTAGTTTATTTTGAGTTTTCATTAACTGCGTTCTGATTTCTTATCTGCCTCACTTGTAGCTGAGCTTGTATCCTATATGTATCATACCAAGTCGGAATTGCTTTACGGTATCTTAAAAAAAAACACACATATTATACGTACATGTGTGTGTGTGCTTGTACAGAGCATGTGCATACATGCGGTGCAAAAGTTAGCAATTCCGACTTGATCAATCTGCCATCACCCCCCCCCCCCCGGCCCCTCGTGTGTACACGCATGTACTCATCGATGCATGCAACACCATCACTATGCATATGCAGCAACATCGCTTGACCAAGTAACCAATTTTTGAAGACTCATTCATTATTTTCAGTATGTATGGAAGGCTGCATAAAAATCTGCAAAAGATTCATTTGTAGATCTGAAACACATTCGGGTGATAATCCTAACATCAGCTGTTCTCAGATAAAGAACACAAAATGTTATTCAAAACAAAAGGGAATTTTTGGTTGATGTGGTTAACCTGTAATATTGAGACCCACTGATATCACCACATGTTTCGCGTACCCAGGGCCATATCAAAATATTCGAACGTATGCGTGCGTGTATCTGTTTTTGCTTCTCACCATGGGATGCGTGCGCGTTCTCCACGAAACTTTGGTTGTGTGAATCTCCATAGACTGTGTACAAACGTGGAACAATTAAACGAGCGTAAACTTGGCAGATTGACCAAATCTGGGCGTTATACTGTACCAATGTTCGTATGGGCTATGCTTGGATTTACTATAGGCACAGACCAAGCGCAACCTAGACTTGGGCCAAGTCTAACCCGATTAAGCCCGGAACACAGCACACAGTCATAAAGGCAGTTAAAAAAAAAAGCTTAGCATGACCATGTAAAAATGGTTACTACATTTGCAACTCAGTGTGAATGGACAAGAAAACGTTTCATGAATCCCCTGACATTTAACTGACAATTCTACCTGATAATTTCAGGGTAGATTTTCATAATTTATTGCTGTATATTTATTTCAACTCTGGCATGTGTGGCTATTGAGTGACTGGCTTGCTACAGTAAGATAAATGACACGTTAAATGAAACTGCTGGTACGATTTCTGGCCCACAGACCATGGGTTCCTTAAGCACACATATCTATTTCAAAGGCCAGAAATAAGGTGTTTTGCTTTGTCTTTCAATCATGTGTACCAAGGCTACTAATGTCATGAAAAGATTGATGTGGTTCATTCTGATACCTACCCAACAGGTCTTCAGCTATGTCCCCTTTGCTGATCTCCATCAGAGCTGTGCGTAACACTTTCCTCTGATCTGCGCTAGTGGTTTGTTGGCGCCTCCATTTGACCAGCATGTTGAAGATCTGGTTCTCTGTCTGGCCTGGGTCATCCATCACGATGTGCTTGATCTCTGCAGCGCTTAAACCAAGATGTGTAGCCAGCTTCTGCCATTCCGAGCTAAGCTTCTCAGAGATCTTACGTAGAATGGTGTCAGTAATGCCTGTACACACGAATCAAAGGAAACACAATTATCTTGTTCATTGCTAGCTTGTTTATATGTGAACTACAGTAGCTTATACACTCATGTTAAGTGTCGCAGGGCCAAGTTTAAATTGTAAATGTTCAAGTACTTTTTAGTGTATTCAGGAGTAGCTCCCCTTCAAAAGAAAAAAAATCATTTTAGTTTCAGTTTACATACATGTATCATTTGGCCAACTTCATGCATGACTGATCAGGGTTACATTTGCAAGCCTTGTCAAAAATGGCTCCCGCACAAAAATGTGGGTTTTTTGACTGGATCAAAGGCAATAAGAGATAAATTCAACATGTACAAAAATTCCTCCATATCTCCACATTCTTTTTCCATTTCCAATGAATTAAAATCAACATTTGAATAAGGCGCGTGACGCTCCTAATAATGCGTTCTGAAGCCAGTAGGACCTAGTCTGCGCATGGGCTTTATAGGGACAGTGGAGTTTTAATGTCAACAGCTGTACAGACTAACTGTACATATGTGTAATGTGCATGATGTGCACCTACACATGTATACACGTACACAAATGTTCACGGTACGTATATACAGTGTCGTGTGTAAAACAAGACTTGGAAAACCATGGGTATGCGATCCACTGAGATAGAATGTGCACGTAGGCCATCTATGATTGTGAACCAGCCCGGCAATCATCGCGTAGCTAAGATCGGCGGATCCAGCAAATTATACAAAACGTGTGATTTCAAAACTTAATATACATAACGTATGAGCTAATACGTCACTAGATATGAATATTTATAGAATTTCAATCAAAACTTTTAGAACTGGAGTGCACCATTTAAAACCAATTTTTAGGCCTGCAAAAATAAACAAGCACAATTTTTGTTTTAGGACAATATTTGTTTAAATTTTGTTCAGAAAAGAAAATGGAAAATTTCGAAAAGCATGTATCAACTTGAATATTTCACTGAAAAGTGAACTGGAATGGTGTTTCAGAGGTGACATGGTCAAAGCTTTCCATAGTTAATGAAGCTGGATGCAGACAAAGTAGCAGCTAGCAGGGCAGTTGCTTTGTGAAATAACTCGTATGATTCTCTGGCCATTGAAGGGTGCCGTGATTGGAATGATATATATGGTGAACTAAGAGGGATACTTTGCGTTTGATATATATAATAGCTGATGATATAGTGTGATGATATACAATAGCTGCATGCTGTGAGGGGGTTGAGGTTTCAAAGTTTGTGATAACTGTTTGCTACTGTTTGCTACTGTAACATTATCAATGGATTCCCTTAACAATGACACATGTAAGCATGTCGTCACATGGCTCATGGCCTAGATATGCATCCATTTCTAAACAATTCAAGATGTTCAGAACGACGGTGTGTTGTATCAATGCAAAGTGCAAGGAGACACATTCTGTTGAAAACAAATCTAGGCAAGATTGAAAGCAGGTAGGTTTTTGTCAACTTTGGAAAGATAAATCACACTTGAAATGGTACAATTTCTGGCCCACAGTACACTTTTTCCGTGGGTTCCTTAAGCACGCCTACCTATTCCCAAGGCCAGAAATAAGGTGTTTTGCTTTTTCATTCAGTCATATGTACCAAGGCTACTTATGTCATGAAAACAAAGATTGATGTGGTTCATTCTGATACCTACCCAACAGGTCTTCAGCTATGTCCTTTCTGTCGATCTCAATCAGAGCTCTGCGTAACACTTTCCTCTGATCTGCGCTAGCGGTTTGTTGGCGCCTCCATTTGACCAGCATGTTAAAGATCTGGTTCTGTGTCTGGTGTGGGCAATCCATCACGATGTGTTCGATCTCTGCAGCGCTTAAACCAAGATGTGTAGCCAGGTTCTGCCATTTGCATTCGGAGCTAAGCTTCTCAGAGATCACACGTAGAATGGTGTCATTGATGCCTGTACAAATCAAAGAAAAAACTTGTATGTTTCTCAATTTTACCTTGTTTGTGAACTACAGTGCGTAGCTTATACACTCATGTTAAGTGTGGCAGGGCCAAGTTTTAATGGTAAATGGAGTAGCTCCCCTTTAAAAGAAACAAAATCACTTTAGATTTACTTAAAGCCCACAAGTCCCCCTATACAGGGTGCATCAAAAAAAGGTCCCAAAAAGTAAACTTTCAATATAATTTTGTTATGGCTGCATACATATGGATAGAAAACCTTGCAGGCTTTAAAATGACACCATGATCATTTGGCGCACTTCGCCATGACTGATCAGGGGCTACATTTGCAAACCTTGTCAAAAATGTGGGGTATTGTCGCGAACCAGACTGGCGATCATCGCGTACTGGTAGCTATAAGATCAGCGGCGAATTATACAAAACGTGCGATTCCAAAACTTAACAAACATAACGTATGAGTTAATACATCACTAGATTATGAATAATTATAGAATTTCAATCAAAACTTTCTGAACTGAAGCGCACAATTTAAAACCACTTTTTAGGCCTGCAAAAACAAACAAGCAAAAGTGCATGTATGCGGGCGCACTTTTAACCAAACCTGAATGACAGGTAACAGCAGGACAAATGCACATTGTCAAAATTTGATGTAAGCTAGTGAGGGCGCGATTTATCACAACCCATGACGTCATGCAACACGACGCTTTCTTGAACAATGGCTGTAAAAGTCGTCTGAATCCAACTCGAAATTATAAGATAACTAGACCTCTGATTAGGTACGGAATTTAACGTTTTGTTGATATTAAGCAGTTATAGACGGCATTGTGTGAGTTTAAAGTTACAAAATAATTTCAATTTTGAATGGATTTTCGGCTCCCTTAGCAACGGACCCTCCGTCCCAATACCACAGGTGAATTTGTGACTGATATACGGAGGTAACTAGTCCAGTATTTCAGTCACATTTATGGGACTAGCATAATACAGGAATAACACAAAAAAGCCCAGTTTTTAAAGGATAGTTGTGTGGATGTTTATATCCTACTTTTAAAAGTTCTTTCCAATTAACATCATTTTGTTGGGCTGTTCCAGGACCCAGTGTCCCTTTAAGCACACCTATCTATTTCAAAGGCCAGAAATAAGGTGTTTTGCTTTTTCATTCAGTCATATGTACCAAGGCTACTAATGCCCTGAAAACAAACATTGATTTGGTTCATTCTGATACCTACCCAACAGGTCTTCAGCTATGTCCCTTCTGCCGATCTCAATCAGAGCTGTGTATAACACTTCCCTCTGATCCGTGCTAGTGGACTGCTGGCGGCTCCAACTGACCAGCATGTTGAAGATCTGGCTCTCTGTCTGGCCTGCTGAGTCATCCAACACGATGCGGTCGATCTCTGCAGCGCTTAAACCGAGATATGTAGCCAGCTTCCGCCATTCGGCGCCAAGCCTCTCAGAGATCTTGCGTAGAACCAGCTCTGTGATATCTGCAAACAGATCAGAACCAATTCACATAAAGTGAAAGAAATCACTACAAGAAAATGTTTGGCATTATGTGGCGCTCTTCAGGCCAACGTTGGCATGACGTTAAAAACCAGCACTCACAAAAATGGCCCTTGTCAAAAACAGGGCACTCGTGAGAAAATAAATGGGGAAAATCCCCCCCCCCCCTTTGCCCAATGTTATGCCACTGATTTGGCACACAAAGAATGATAAGATTTTGACCCTCAATGCTTATTTTCCTTTATGTTTTTGTGCAATCAGTTTAATAATAGTACTTTTAAAATAATAACATGCACAAATCACAAAAGTAAGCCCATAAGCAGAAGTAAGGCCAGAAAAAATAATTGTTCTGCTTCCGGTTTCCCTACCTACCATATTCTGACAGCCCCTACCCTAATTTTTTTATTGGAAAAATGAGAAAAAAACACCCAAAACCATCGCATTATACCTTTTACCCTTGACTACACACAGACGCCTCCATATGATCGTACATAAAAAAAATAGAAAAAAAATTCCTACCTACCTACCCTATTTTCGAATGCCATGTAAGATCTTTTTTTTGTTTGGCCTGACGATGAAAACAAAGGATTTATCAGAGATAAGGCCAAATAAAAAAAAATCCCCGCCCACTTCCTTCTCTTTTGTTTCTTTTTTAATTGAAAAAAGAAAAACCCGAGACAGTGACTTTATTTTGGCCTCTTTGTCTGTTGCAACAAGTGGCCAAACAAATATTAAAATACTCATTCTGATTCTGATTGGTTTTCAGATCAAAATAAGAAATATGCTGACTCACGGGGATAGGTGGTGGGAGTGAATTCCACTTCTAGTTCAACTATGGAAAAGAAGAAATGAAACAGATTAGTCTCCAACCCAGCTGTTGTTCTGACACTTAAAACTTTTTTTTTACTGGCAAGCTGGAATGAATGCCTCCAAGCGAGACAGGACCATTACAATCTGGAAACTTTGACAAATCCACTGTCTGAAAAAAGGCTGTGTAACTCAACTGAAGCTTGGGGAGGATCAACATCCAATTTTCTTTCTGAAATAAAATAATATGAACTTTTTTATGCATTTGCCTTTACAGTGTAAATACCACTGCACTGTGAAAAGAGGTACTGACAAATTGGGAGAGGGTCAACACAGGACTTAATAATTCAGTTCATTCAGTTAACGTTGTTTCGGAGGTCCCAAATCTTTCTATTGTGAAATTCGTTATATTCACACTACACCGGCACAGCTGCATTGTGTCATTTACTGTTCACATAATGGGCCAGTTGCTTGGTAAATAACTAGCACAGCACATTTGACATTTACATTTGTAAATGGAGCTACTGTAGGGGTATGTGATTTATGAAACCTCATTTATGATTATATTAGTGATAATATCGATACATGATTGCAATGTTGTTATGTATTATAGTCACTTTCTGGGAGTCAATTGTGTACAGTATTATATTGAAGTATTTTGATGTGGCCAGCCGCGCATGCGTGTTAGCTCTATCTCTCTCTCCACGTTGTTCTGGGCGAAAGTTGGGAAAGTTTTAGTTCCAAAGTTTCCGTTTGAAGTCGAGGTATTTTCCTCTTTTCAAGTTCATCGTGCATGAAGGTGACTTGTCCGCATTTGATTTAGGATCAGTTTGGTGCAGGTATGAGAGTTTCAGAACTTTCATTTAAAGAGATTTTGCTTGTTTATTGTGATGAGTTCATGATTTGTTTTGACTCACACTCTGTGAAACTTCTCTGTATGTGCATGCATTGTTCACGCGATACGTTGATTTGCATGTACATAGGTTATACTGTACCGTTGCTAAGGACCGTGGTCCGCTAGCATCGCAGGAATCGAGACTCGAGAGAGGGCAACGCATGGTCTCGGGTCCGGTCTGGGTGAGTTGTACGTAATATTATAGGGCTTCGAGGGAAACAGTATCCATTAATCTTTTATATTACTAGTTTATCATGGAGAGAGATTGAATCATTGAATTGTATTTTATTTTGCATCAATAGGGGATTAGATCGGACTGGATTGGATTGGATTGGATTGGATTGGATTGGATTGGATTGGATTGGATTGATTGATTTATACTGAAGATTTGGGATCTGGATTTTTGGAGAAATATATTCTTGGATTTGTAGAGGGAGTTTTACTGTGCGCAGCATACAGCGTGTGTCAATAAAAACGCAGGATTAGAAACAAAAAATTTAAGAATATAAACCACCCCTATTCATCATAATGTTCACCCTCTTTTCAAAGTACCTTTCCTTCTCTTCACTATGCTTTTTATCCCATCTCATTTGGACAATCCTGTCCAGAGATAGAGTACATTGAAGAAGGGTTATAAATTCCAAGCTGGTCTGATTTGTGAAATCACACATACCTAATGAAAGGTTTGAATTCAGTACAGGTGAAAGTATTTGTGGATCACAAAGAAGGACATGTGTGGCAGGATTAGGCTTACATAATCCTTTAGTCCACAATCAATGTTATTAGTCAATAATTCATGATGCTTTGAAACAATGATAGTCCAGTTATTCAATTTAAGTGATACTTATCATCAGTTGTTTCAAAGAAAGTTTTGTTCTGGTTTAATTGTCTTCAATGCACACCTGCATTGTACATAACTGGTCGTTGTGTTAAGGTCATTGAAACAGACCAACCCGCTTCAGAAGGGCTTCACAAAACTCGTCATAACTTTTGAACCAAAAGTCCAAATTCCACAAAACAAAAATCTTATCAAAGATGAAATTATGGACAATCAAATCCTTATCAAATTAGGCACACCAGTAGCATTATTTTCTCAGAAAAAAAATCGCTTTGAATCCTGCGTTTTTATTGACACACGCTGTACTATGGAAAGGTCTGCCTTCTTCTGTGTCATAATACATGTAGTTTTGACCGTGTGTGGCCACACAGGTTGGTCGCGGTGGTCAGGACACCCCTCACTGTAAGGTGATGCCATTGTCCAGAATGGATAAATAAAATGTGTTTACATTTTCGATTTAAGTGTTCATTCTTGCCGATTATTTTTCTAAAGAGAAATAATTGATACACAACACAGAGTTCAATGAAATATATAATCTGATCAAAATAATCACAACAAAATGTTTCGAAAACAAAAGTACACAATTTCGGCAACAAGAGATAAACCTAAATATAATGCGCCTAGTCAGTTTCCCTTCGTGGTTCATTTGAAAATATGTAACAAAAAGCCGTTTCCTCTCTGAGTGATCCCGGATTGGATTTCCCAGGTCACCTTTTCTTTTTTATTCCTCTCAGTACTGAGGCTCTTGGTTTCAGTGCCAATTTGAAATTTGCAGAACTGCACCGAAAGTTGAACATCGGTCCAAACTTCAACGGGGTGAATCTTTATTTCTTTTAGGTGGCAAGGATTTAAGCGTTAACTGTTAGAAGAATTGGAGTAGTGTGACCTTATCGGTGTTTTAATTAGTTACTAATTGGTTGTGGTATTGTGTAGTACGGATGCTCCGAGTAATTCACCATGGGGTGAGGGGGGCAGGTCACCAGTGCGGTCCCCCTTGTTTCAGGGACTCTGCTATGCTATATATTGTGCATAATAGCGTCAATGCAAAGGATGGAGGGGAAGGATGCTGTCAGGGAACCAATATCAGGGCCAGGGGAGTCATAACATGCAGGGTTGACAGACCAAATGTTCAAATGTGTCTCACCCGGTCTTGGTTGTAGTTGCGGCTGTGGTTGTTGCGTTGGTTCCTGCTGGGAAGGTTGTTTCTTACCAGCCGGTAGTTGTTGGGTTGCAGCTGCCTGACTGGCTGGTGCTGTGCTTGGACCAGGGTTAGTTTGTGTCTCACCCGGTCTTGGCTGTAGTTGTGGCGGTGGTCGTGGCGTTGGTTCCTGCTGGGAAGGATGTCCACTGCCAGACTGAGTCGTTTGTTGATCATCCCTCACTCCATCAGCCGGTAGTTGTTGGGTCGCAGCTGTGCTTGGACCAGGGTTAGTTTGTGTCTCACCCGGTCTTGGCTGTAGTTGTGGCGGTGGTTGTGGCGTTGGTTCCTGCTGGGAAGGATGTCCGCTGCCAGACTGAATCGTTTGTTGATCATCCCTCACTCCATCAGCCGGTAGTTGTTGGGTTGCAGCTGTGCTTGGACCAGGGTTTGTTTGTGTCTCACCCGGTCTTGGCTGTAGTTGTGGCGGTGGTTGTTGCGTTGGTTCCTGCTGGGAAGGTTGTTTGTTACCAGCCGGTAGTTGTTGGGTTGCAGCTGCCTGACTGGCTGGTGCTGTGCTTGGACCAGGGTTAGTTTGTGTCTCATTTCGTCTTTGGGCTCCCTCACCCGGTGGTTCTGCCATTTAGCGCTGGTGATGTGGGCACAGTTTACTTGCAGACAGCTTCGGTAGTCCAACCCTGGTATAATCCTGTGAGTGCAAAGTACAATCAGGTAAAATCACATAATGGATGCTTTTGGGCTGTCAATCAGTCCATCGCTCAGTTGGTCGACCGATCAGGCATGCAACTGGGAATTTAGAAAAAAAACCGAGGGATTTCCGTACCACACAAGACTTTGTACGGTGTTTTGCAATTTGTGATGGCATTCATGAGTTCTAGCAAAAAAAACAAGGAAATCAGCGGATCCGAGGAAAAGTTGCATGCCTGCTATATATTTCAGTCAGTCAGTTGGTCGGTCTGTTGGTTGGTCAGTCAATCTGTCGTTCAGTCGATCAGTTTGTTGCTCTGTGGTTGGTCAGTAGGGCGGGGTTGATTGGTTGGTCAGCTAGTCCATCGGAGGGCGTGGAGTATTGAGGGGAAAGAAGGGAAGTGGGTTATAGCCGCGGATAATTAATGATCAACATGCAGATTCACATGGCCAGCAGTTTTGTTAACACCCCACCAAAAATCTTGCAACGTGACCAGCAAAACTTTCTCACCTTGACAATAAAAGTGTTAAGTATTTTTTTATTGGAGCATCTTAAAGCTTAAAACTTGAAATTGGAAACCCAGATTATTTAAAAAATCACATCATTCAGTCACAAAGATTTTAAAAAGCTGTACATTCCTGATCAGCAGAAAAAAAAAAAAGCAGTCATTAATAGACCTATTGACGTCATGCTTTGTTTACATGTGTGCTTTCCTATGGGAGCCAGGTGGGCAAGAGAGCCACCAAGCTCCCATAGGAAAGCACACATGTAAACAAAGCATGACGTCATGATGTCTAATACATGTAGGTCTATTAATTCACTCACCTTTAACCCATGAAAGGCGTTACTCTGTAGCCGACTGTGGCAGTGAAGGAGTTCACACGTCCATTGCTGTTTGGATATAAAGACATAACAGTTAACTTTGTGTGGGAAGGAACTTAAACCCTATTTTTACAACCTGCATTGTGCTAAAAACCTCTAAAACAGCAGTGTTGAGGGAGGGGCATCCCTGCCCATGTTTTCCCTCTCCTAGTTAACCCCCATGCTCCGTATCAGAGTCTGAATGTCCATACTCATTATTTGCTGATGGTACATTTAACACAAGAAACTGTCTGGAAGGGAATTAACCATGGCAACACCTCAAACTTTGGACAACCACATGCACACCTGCCTCCCTACCCTCAAGTGTTGTAGGATATAGCTCCCCCCTCCCCCCATATACCCCACTGGTGTCTACAAAAGGAAATACAAGTAGGGTCACAAGAAAATGGTGAACAGACTTGATGCAGGAAACTACTTCTTAGCATCCTTGGCAGAGTCTGAACTCACTTTCATATTAGTAAATAATTAGGACCTACAATAGTAATTGCTGGCTTGATCAATTATTATGACATGTACACATGTACCGGTATATGCATATTATTATAGTACACAGAGTACCCCATTTTTTTGTTTCATTCCAACAGGGCCCAGAACATCCCTGTTGATAAGATTTATTGCCGCAAAGAGAAACCTTTCTTAAAGTATCCCACGTCTGTTCATGCCAATTAACTTGCTAAGCCTTGGCTCCACTATATGTTAGCATGTCATCTCCATATAAAATTGCATGGCAGACTCAATCAATCATATTAATCAAATCTTTAATTTTTCCCAACACACACATGAACATATAATATTCCTTAACATTTGAGTTATCGTGTATGGATGGATGGAGGTCTCCAAAAAGCATCAGCTTGTCGAGTGGAGACCCCCACTGTAATAAAGAACAATTACAATCACAATTACGATGACAGTTACAATTAATTACAAGTACAAGTACAACGACAGGAGTTAAATAACAAAAAATATTGGTACAGAGCTAGTACATGTAATACGAAATAAAACTAAATTGATTTGGTCTTACAAAATGAGATTATTCTACCACATATTTGTTAATTAATTGGGTTTTATATTTGCGTTTGAACAATGATACATGTGACACCTTTTTTAGAGATGGATTGAGAGAATTCCACAGCACAATGTCTCCATTGTGTTCACAAAAAAATGTGTAAGTGGGGGCAAGGGAAAAAGGCCATCCATCCCTTGCCAACAGTCACAAATGGCATTGCTTACATTCATATCATCAACGCAGGGCCAGCTGTGGTTCAATTATGATCAAAACAAAGAAAATGTGCACTCCGTTTAAAACTTGCCTTCCCAGCCGGTTTCAAACGTCACAGGAATGGGTGGAAGTTATGCTATTCACCGAGATGATAAAAGGGATTTTCAATGAGTTGTCAATACAGTTCACACATGCACATGTATAACTGTGGCTTGCCTAATAAATCATGCTTTTATCTCTTCCACAAACTAAATCTCAGGCATGCAACTGTAAATTCACCACACAAAAAAGGAAATTCCAAAATTTGTTTTTGAATTTTGAGAGGCATAATGACATGAGAATAAAAAAAGAGAGGAAATCAGCTGCTAAGAAAAAAAGTTGCATGCCTGAAATCTATTGCAATACTGAAAATGTACAGTTCAGAATCGACAAGAATTGATCCACTGTTTGTACTACCAAATGATAGAACCTCTTCCGCCCAGCCCCTATCTATAGTGAAACTGACGTCATGCTCGGAGAGATATTAAAGTAGAACTGGGCAATTGTCAGACCCCCTGTGGGTTGGTATATACCACGAATATTGAAACTGCTTCACTGCCTATTGAGCAACGGGGCAACATGCAACACAAACTACAATTTGAAAGTTGTCAAACATCCCGTTTTGCGTAAAACCTTTTTTTTTTATCAAACAAGTCCTAATTACAGAATAGAGTAACATCTTTTGAAGTATACTGCTTTCATTTCAGCAGGGTAGCCTTTTTCAGTAATTTGAACTGTTCTTAAGGGTCCTGACAAGCATGTTAGCCCACCAGTATCTGTGAAGACAAAACTTGTTTACATGTATTGTGTCAAAGAGAAATTACCACTCCTCCAAAAAAAGTACCTTGGCCTGTACATATGTTACTCAACTCAATTCAGCAAAAACACCCTCTCTACCTGTATATTAGCGATAGAGCATGTACATGTACAATCAGTTTATGAGAAATAAATTGAATACCCAGACTATATTGTTGATAGTACAATGGTATATTCACCAATAGTTTACCTACAGCGAGCCAGAGAGCTAGAATCTATTCAAGTTCAGTCATCCTCCTTCCAACGTCACTACCCCATTTATTGGGTTTGTATTCTCAGGTCATCCACCATTGACTCTCACAGACCTTGATGCAAATTCTGCCAACAATACCCAATGAAAAAGCTGCCACAAACAATCCCATATTTGGTGCTGCCCCGCTGCTTATGCCTTACGGATAATAAATACCACACCCTGCAGGTAAAGATACAATGGCGATATGGAACTACATGTACATGTATTGCAGGTGCCTTTCACTTCGTTTGGAAAACTCACCTCAGTGAAAAATACTGTATTAGGCAAACCACAGACCCCAATGGTCCGTGGGCAAACTCAACATGTTTTTCTTTGGTAAATTGGCTCACAGCATTAGCAGTAAATACATGTACTTTTTTCATTACAACTTACAAGTAGAAAATCCATTAATTAGGATAAAATATTCCCACATCACAGTATACTCACCAATTGTTCTAATTTAAAGGGAAAATACAACATTTGCAAACATCAAAAAATAAAACTACCAAATCATTTTGAAATACCTTACTGGACTGTTAGTGAATGACAGTGTAAAGCATCCTGTAAAATCATGGCACCTAGTATACTGTCATTTTCAAGAAAAGTGGTATTTTTGTATTTTTGTATCAATTTCCAACGCTGATCGGCCGATCAGCGTTGGAAAAAACTGGCTTTTTCCCCAAATACTGGCCCCAATTGACCATCGCACTTGTTTGCAATCGATTACAAACCTATGAACGGGTACGAGCCAACTAGACTTGTTCCCTGACCTTACAATTCCGCAATGTATGTAAACTGCTCGGTTTCTTCTTACATGGAGTCAGGGAACCAGACTACAGGAAAATGATTGTTTTTCCTGGTTTTTATAGCATTTTCGAACCAAAAACCTCAAAAAAGTAAGTGTAACTATATTTGCTATATATATATTTCCAACCCCCCAATTCCATCCATTTCTGAAAATTACAGCAAAAGCAAATGATGTATATTCCCTTTAACTTCACTTTTTAACATAATTGTAGACAAGCTCAGTAGGCATCTCAAATAAACTTAAAGTAAATTGATATAGAACCATCATCACACGATATTCACTGCAGATTATCAAGAAACTATGCAGCAGGATGTCATAATTTCATGAACTGTTCTCTGTATGTTGTCACTTAAACACTGCTCATAGTATGTGATGTGGTCTGAATAAGATTTCATTCATGTAGACTTGGATTCAAATAGCTTAGAATCAATCATTTAACTTTGACATGTTTGACTTGAATACAATGTAGCTGGATTTCTGGAAAAAGACCAGAATCAAATTGGACTCAATCTGCTTGGCCTCCATTCAGGTAGCCTTTACCGGTATATGTCACTCAACAACAGCCAAAAAATCACACACTTGTATTTAATAGCCATAGAGCGTGTAAAATCAGTTTATGAGAAATAAATTGTACCCAGACTATATTGCTGATTGTACAATGGTACATTCACCAATAGTTTACCTACAGCGAGCCAGAGTGCTTAGAATCTATTCAAGTTCAGCATTCCTCGATCCAACGTCACTACCCGATTTATTGGGTTTGTATTCTAAGGTCATCCACCAATGAAAACGCTGCCACAAACAATCCCATATTTGGCGCGCTGCCCCGCTATGTATGCTTTATGGATAATATACACGTACCGGTACATGTGCCACACCCTGCAGGTAAAACTTGTACACACTCAACCAAAAAAGAAAGTCCCCCTATACATGTTTGTCTTTAACTCAAGAACTACTAGGCACCTCTCACTCAAATAACAACTAATCAGTACAGAAGGTCCTTAGCAATCCAGCCATACTCTTAATTCGGCCCTAAAACAGTGATAATGTGTACGAAATTATACAACTGATGACAAATGATACCAACACAAATTTGCACTTTTGTACACCTGCAAGTTGAGTGTGAACATTTTGTTTCTAACGCTCTTTCATCTCTTCCAACAAAAAATTCTTAAAATTGATTTCTTAAAATTTTTGTCACCATTTTCTTTACTGCATACTTTGCATGTTCTTCCAGGTTCAGTAAAGGAAAGGGTAAAAACATAACCAACAAAACTTGAAATTATTTTTATGAAATTTTTGTTGGAAGATTGCGTTGGAGATGAAATGTTCACACTCAACTTGCTCGTACACTTTGTGTACGTACATTAGCGCTATTTTGTGCCAAATAAAGAGTATGGCTGGAATGCTAAGGAATTTCTGTACTTGTCATTATTTGAGCAAAAGATGCGCAGTAGTTTTAGAGTGAGACAAAAATGATTGGGCAGATTTCTTTTCTGGTTGAGTGTATACATGTATGTGTGTGATGGCAATATGGAACTATTGCAGCTGCTTTTCATTTCGTTTGGAGCACTCACCTATTAAGCGAAAAGTACTGTATTAGGCAAACCATGGACCACAATGGTCCGTGGGCAAACTCTAACATGTTTTTCTTTGGTAATGAGTGATTGGCTCACAGCATTAGCAGCCTACATTGCACATGTACATGTACATCTCACGAATTAATTTGCAAACGGTTAAAGATATAGTCCATCATTTATAATTTGCGCATTCTGTTCATTTGAAGCAACAAAAGTGCTCAAAATCTAAAGAAGGGTGCTGAACAACTGACCTGATGAAGTTTCAGCTCAGCTTCTGCTGTATATTTCAAGAAAAACAACATTCTATGATCTCGA